CTATGAAGGGAGGAAGATTTGGGGATTTCAGCGAGGGATTTGAGATCAGGTACTCAAGGAAATCCCAAACTCATTTGACAATGTCACTCTTTCTGAGCTCAGCAAAATCTTGGGAATGATCTGACCCTTTTTCTCCCATCCCTTCCCAACATTTGCAGCATATTCCCTTCTCCAGCATGTGCAGGATTACTTTTATCACACAGCCATGTGGGGCTGGACCACTGCAGGGGCATGTTTTAATTTTCCCTGGATTTTGAATTCCTCTTGAAACTGAACTCATCCTTTGTAGATGGAAACACATCCTAGGGCTTGTCTGTTCATGGAAAGGGTCTTGGCGAAGTTTGGAAAGATGGGATGTGTTGGGAGCCCATCAAGTCTGGGCAGAGGCTGGATCAGGATATGAGCTGAGCCAGAGATTTCAGCTCTGGCTGTAGGCAGGAATGAAACATAAAAATAGGTTTTGTATTTCAGACAAATCCAAACCGGGAAGCAGAGCAGGATCATGTAAGGGATTGTTGGAGTTTAGCTCCATTTGATATTTCCAAGACCCCACAGCAATGAGTTTTTCCATTTCCTACATATCTTAGACATAGAATCCTTCTTCCTCTATTTACTTTTCCTTGGAATGTTTTTAAGTATGAAACCCTTGACATTCCTCACTGCTTTTTAGCCTTTTGCTTCCAGACATTTCTGCAAAATCAGTTTTACCTCTGGGTTTTATAGGAAGACAGAAATTTTAAAGTATTTTAACGTATTTGCCCAATATTTGCCCTTTACTCATAAATAACTTGGCTGTGTTTGTTGTCAAGCAACAAAAATCAGTTTTCAGTGCAGGGATCAGGATGTGGAGTTAAACGGGTTTAGCACAGCTGAGTGTTTGATTAAAATTTGTTATATTTGCTTTTTTAGTGTCTTCTCTGTGTATAATTGTGCAAAATTATTTTCCTATAGAGTCCCACAGTGTTCCAATTTGGATAGGAAATTTAGTGCTTTCTCAAACAGTGGAATCTGGATTATTAAACAAAAAAAACCAAGGTCACTGTCATGGACAGTTTCCACCCTGTTGCCCACATTTTTGAAGGATTCATCCTTCCAAACTCAGCCTACAATGTATCTTGTAGACTTCATTTTTACTCCATGATTTTTCTTTCCATCTTCTTCTAAATTCCCAGGATGGTTTGGGTTGGGAGGGACCTTAAAGCTCCAAAACTCCACCCCCTGCCATGGGCAGGGACACCTTCCACCATCCCAGGCTGCTCCAAGCCCTGTCCAGCCTGGCCTTGGACACTTCCAGGGATCCAGGGGCAGTAACAACCACTCTGAGCCATATTTTAGGTAGGGTTTATTTAAATCTTGACTTCTTTTCCAGCCTAACCCAGCACTGCGTGTTCTGTAGCCGACCCGAAATTAATGTTGAGGTAGAGAGTGGGAATCTAATTTGAGTATGCAAATTCTCATTTCTCTCTAAAGTTAGCTCGGGAGAGAGGCTGAATCTGGCCTTAAGGAGATGTGGAAAGTCCCCTAAAAATCCTTATGGATCATTGAGGCTGGAAAATCCCTCCCAGCCCATGGAGTCCAAGCTGTGCCTCATCCCCACCTTGTCCCCAGCCCAGAGCACTGAGTGCCACGTCCAGCCCTTCCCTGGACACCTCCAGGCACCATGGAGAAATTCCTCCTGGTGTCCAAGCTGAGCCTCCCCTGGCACAGCTCGAGGTAATTCCTGACAATTAAACCCAAACATTAGGAGATTTCCAAGAGAAAAATGATCTTTCTAATAAAAATCTTTGCAAGGAAAAGCAGCTCGTTTTGGAATTGGAAATGGGACACAGCTGGAAATTTTCACCAATAAATATCTGGATTCTGCATCTGTCAGGCTATCAGAAGACAATTGCAGCGAGTTTTTCCTCGTTATCTAATTAATTCACTAATGGCTTTGTTTACAACATAGGCTGGAGGCTGGATGAGATTTAATTGCACTTCAAAATCGGGGGCCAGACTTCTCTTAAAACACAAATAAAGCTGAAAAATTCCGTTGTGTCCGCTTTGTACAGAGCCCGTAAAACATGGCTGGAACATTTGATGTGCATGTTTTTATTTGTGTCTTTAGCAATCTCCATTTTGCAAAGGAATTCTGATTTTTGGAGCCACCACGGAGCCAGAAGGAGTGCAGAAGGCAAGGATGTCATTTTTAGTCTCTCTGTGCTCAGCCATCACCTACAGGAACCGATTCCATGGAAAAATTACTCCAATCCCGGGTGTTTAGCTACTCCAATGTATTTATTTCAGAGCTGTCAAAAATGATCTTGATTTTAAACCCAGAAGAACTGACCTGGGGCAGACACTCAGGAGCACAGGACTTGAGTGAAAAGGACATTAAAGGACAAAGCCAAGAGCAATAAAGGTCAGCAGAGATGGTGTCTGAGAACTGGGGACACCTGCCCTCCATCCCTGTCACATGAGGTGACGTCCCCTATCCCAGTGGCACCTGAAATTCCTATTTTCTTAATGTTAATCCTGGATCCCACCCCAGAAGATGCTCAGCTGAGATAAAGCAGGGAAGCTGAGCTGGAAAAAAGAGTGGATGCATCCCAAAAAGTCTGCTCCTGCCATTTGCTGCCATGTCTCCAACCCTGGATGATTTATCTCTCAAAAAAACCCTCGATAAAAGTCGATTACATAGCCCAATTTGGGATGAAGAGGAGCATCCATGAGGATGTTGGAAGAGGCACCAGGGAGCCACCAAAAAACTGAGCAAACAACACTCATTCCAATGCTCTGGAATTTTTTCCTGAGACACAGAAAACAAAACTGCCTGGGAAGGCAAGACAAAAGGGGATTTCCATGTGTAATATCTGAAGAATTGAAAATAATTTATATTTTAGGCTGTCTGACCTAAAAACCATATCCTTGTGCATGGATGCATGGAAAGGGCGACCTCTCCAAGGCACCAGCATTCCCAGAGGTGTCTGGAAAGCCACATCCAATGGGAATGTTATTCTGTAATTCCTTCTTGGCCAATTCAAGCCCCAGACATTCCAGTTCCCCCCCAGCCACCACCAGCTCCCCTCTCCAGCAGTGATGTTCCGAGGCTTCGTGCCCAAAGCTATAAAATTCCTTTTCCTTGCCATGTCCTTCACTTTTTTGATCCATTTTACTCCTGGAAAGCACAAAAACTGTGAATGTTTTCCAGGAACATTGCTGCACTTCCATATTCAGGCAATAAAAGAGCCGATTCCTTCGATATATTTTACAATTTTAGCCCAAATAATAAACCATATTTTTAATGGCGAAGGCGGAAGCATGAGGCAGCAATTCCAGGCTCAGTTTTGACAAAAGGAATATTTTCTTGGCTTTATAACAGAATTTCCTTCTGTGGTAAAGAAAAATAACAAAATCCGGTGTGTTGAACCACACTTTTAAATATGTTTTTTTCTGTGTGCAGTTCAGTGTCAGTTAAGAGCTACAAAAAATGAGCTTATCCAGCATTTTCCTGCTCAGGAGAGGGGCACCCACCCCTGAAGAAAACCCCTGGGAATGTTTTTTGCACCCCAGGTGGCTCTAGGGATCCTTGGAGCCTTCTGAGATGGGAGCATCCACTGAGAACAGAATATTTTTACTTGAACTGATACCTTGAAAAGGGGCAGAGCACCTCCTGCTCTTCCTCCTGGGCCAGGGTCACACATCACCAGGGTGGAGTTTTTGTCACCTTAAAGCTGCCACAGGCAGAGGCCTGGCCATGGCCACCAGTGAGGGTCCCAGCAGCCACCCCTCATGGGGACAAACCTGAGCACCTCCCCAGGAACACCTTGAGGTTGGCAAAACCCCTTAAAAATGAACCCAAAACCTTCCCAAGGCACAAACCAAGCCTCAAACTGGTGGGTGGGGAAGCCAGATGTTAATTTAGGAGGCAAATCCCTGGTGCCTGGAGAGGATAGAGGGACTTCAAAAGAGAGGTTGAGCACAACCTCCTGCTCTAAAGCATCCTCAGCAGCTGACTCCTTCAAAATACTCATAAATTTAAATATTCATAAACAAAATAATCAGACATTAAACCCTAAACCCCTGGAAGGCACCCAAAAACGCTCTTTCCTCCACAGGATTTCACATCCATGCAGGAAGAGCCAGGAATAAAGCACAGGGAAGAGCAAGTTGGGCTTCACACACCAAATTTACTCTTTCCATCACAAATGAACACCAAAAACACCTCATTTTTCCCATTTTCCAACTCCCAGCCGCCTTCGGCCCCCACAGGGTTACAGAGTGGAGGATTCCCCAAAGCTTTGTGGTGGCAACAGTAACTCTGTTCCCCATCTGCCTGGGCTTGCAGGAGTTCCTAACATAGTGCAGGAGTGTCCGGTGTCCGGAGCTCCTCCGTGGTGAAACCCAACTCCCTCTTCCTACTCCAAGGTTTTGCGTTGCCTTGGTGTTACAAACAGGTCGCCTCTTGCTCGGGCTCTGCTTTAAAGGAGACCACAGAGCTCCAAAGCCAAGCAGAGTGAAAAAAGCAGGCTCGGATTTTCTCTTTGCTCCACAGTTCTGCACAAAACCAGGCCCTCTCTGGGATGTGTTGCCATGGGTCAGCTTTGAGAACAATCAGGTGCAAGCGCTCTAGACCTGAATAAAAAAATGTGTAAAAGAAGCTTTCTGCTGTTATCCTGGATCTGGTTAAATAAGATTTTAGGTTGCTCTTCCAATCCCAGCACTCACCCTATTCTTCAGGTTTAGTTTTTAAAAGGCCATAAATCAATGCCATAAACCACTTAAGAGAGAGAGGAGACGTGTGCTCCTCTCTCAGCCTAGGACATAAATCCTCCTTGGCTACTGCAAAACATTTATTGGTGCATTTCTTATGCCTGGAAAGGAAATATAAGTCAGTTTTCTTCACTATACAATCCCAGCAGATCATTTTTCTCAGGCTTATTGGGGTGTAAGAACAAAGAAAATGAAGCCTTTAACACAGCAGTTGTTTTAGGATGCCACACAAAGAAGAGGTCACCTACCAGCTCCACTCTCCCGAACCCTCCGACTCCCAGGGTGTCGATGATGTTGAAATCCGACAGTTTCAGGTTGGCAAAGAAGGCAGCTTCGGCTTCGTATCTGGAGGTTTTGAGGCGAAAAAACGGAAATTTCTTAGAGGTGCAAACCTGAGCAGTGTGCGCCGCCGCCCCCGAGCTGTGAGAGCCTGGGCCAGCCTTTACCTGCTGCACTTCCATCTCAGCTCTCAAAATTGGCTTTTAGCTCAGCATTCCGCTGCTCCCGATCCCAGCGAGGCTCTGGAGGGCACAGTTTTCCAAGGGGGAATAGCAAACATCCCTACTGAGGGTGCAAAGCTAACGCCTGGCACCACGATCCAGCTCCCAAGGCTACAGCTGGGCACGTTCTACCCATCTTCTCCTGGGTGGGGTTTGCCTTTAAAGATTTTGGTGTCTTTAAGGATTTTTGGAAAAGTCTCTCCTAGGAGTTTCTCATATCCACAGGCTGGCAGCAGTTTCTATAAATGTTTATTGGAAGTGGCAGGATCACTAAAGGTCCCTGGAGAGAAATCCCAGCCAGGTTTTATGAAATCAGATCTGATAAGCTGCAAATGCCTGAAATGAATGACTCCAGTCACAGATCAGCATTCCTATAAGGGTATCTTCACTTGTTCTCCTCCTGCAAACCCACTCAGAGCAGCCATCCCAAGCCAGGAGGTCCCAAAATCCCAATGGTCTCCGTTTATCCCATGGCAAACTGCCCCACAACACCAAGCCCCTGAGTAAGGAAAATGCAACTCCAACCCATGCAAGCCTGCCAGAATCAGCTTCCCATGCCTATCCATGACCATGATTCCTCCAAAATAGTTCCTTGTTAAGGTTTAGGGTATTTTTAGAAAGGCTTGGAGGGGAAATGGATGAGCAGGATCCGCCCCCTCCATCAAATGTGACACTCGGCTGCCGGAGAGTCCGACCTTTGGCTGAGGGTGACTTTATGGGAAAAGAGTTGGCTGGAGGGTGCAGGGCTTCATTTTAGCTGGAATAGCTTGCAATTATCAGTAGGGCATAATCACTGGAGGCTTTGCTGGTGCAGGGTAACAGCAGTGGGAAGATGAGCCACCATCCCACTGCCACCTGGCCAGCTTTGGGACATTCCGACCCCGATTATTTCATTAACAGCATGAACTGATTTACTGCCAGATTCCCTTCAAGCCACCTCCTCTGCTCTATTTAAAACCTCAGTGCCAATGGGGGAGAGAGAGCAAAACTCCATCATTTTCCAAGTGAAAAGGGAAACCTACAAATAGGAGTCCAGCAACATGAAAGGTCACATCATGAAGCCCCAAATCTGAGGCAGCAAAGCACAATTCTCTCCTGGGGGGTGCTGTCAACAAATTACTTAAGCTCTGCTTTATTTTTTTATGCTGTCACCAGATCCTGTCTGTGACCTTGCTCCTGATGCATCCGACTTTGGAAGCCCATCAGCACGGAGCCTGCTGTGAACTTGGGATAACCTTGTGTGCCACAGCTGCTGATTGATCCCTTCACGCTCATCACGAGGTGAATGCTGAGTTGGCTCTAAAAAAGGATTGAAATGTCCCCTTTCAAAGCACAGCAGAGCCAACATTTCAGCAGTGACAGAGCAGGGAGCGCCTCTCGTTTCCATGATCAATGTACAGATTCATGATGATTTAATGATTTCTAATTGCCAGGAAGATGAAATTCCAGTGTGCAAAATTTCCTGTCAATACACAAACATGTAAAATTTCAGGGCCAGGGTCACACAATGATTTGGGTTGGAAGGGACCTTCAAGACCATCAGATTCCAACCTCCCTGCCATGGGCAGGGACACCTTCCTGGATAAGGAAGCTGAAATCTTCTGGATTTGAGTTAGAACATGTCAAAAAACTGTATTATTTTGTTTAGAAAAATATTTGGGATTGCTTTTGGAAATCCTTTGGATGAGTACATGGATACATAAATGGATACATTTTTTTCTAAATACAGTGCAACAAGCCTCCAAACTCCAAAAGAAATGCCAAAAATATGCAGTGAAACCAAAACACAGGTAAAATCAATCAAACAAGCCCTTCCCATGGTCACTAACAACAGTCCCACTGGAATTCTGTTTTATTCCCAGCTACAAAAGTCCAAGTCCACTTAAACACCAAATTCCTACAAATTAAGTCGTTATGCATTCCAAACCTGCTAAGCTGGAGGATAAATATCTTCAATAAAGAGATGAAAATACAAATATTCCCAAGCTAAATCAGAAACCAGGGGTATGATCCTTCATGCTCCTCATCATGAAGTTTAGAATTCCTTCCAAATTCCTGAAGCTGAGTGTGCTGTTCCCTGAACAGAAGCTCCCAAGGTTCTGCAGTGTGAGCTCCTCACTTGACAGAATGATGGTAAAAAACATCTGTGATGTTTGATTTTATCACCTCCCAAAGTAAAGAGGCCCTTTCAAGGCCCTGGGAGGGCAGTGCTAAGGAATACAGTTGATATATTAATATTTTTCTGTAGGAAAATGTTCAGTTCTGGATCAGGATAAAGAATCTGCAGCAGTCAGGAATGTTTGGGATATTCACAGGACGGCTCAGGCTGGAAGGGACCACAGCTGGTGGCACCTCCCTGCTCCAGCAGGGCCATCCCAGAGCACAGGGCACAGCATTGTGTGCACACAACTGTGCCACAGCCCCAGGCAGGAGAGCCCACAGCCTCTGTGGCCAATGTGTTCAGGGGAGAAGTTCCATAGAACAGAGGTGGGGTGAGAGTAGGGACAGTTTGACCCCACTTGTGCAGGATGAGGTGGGAATAACTCATCCCTTTGTGGGACAAATCCACCTGTGCCAGGGCAGGGTGCTTTTCTCCACTTTTGGAGGTGCCACAGCCTCATGTCATTCCTCCTTAATCAGAAAGGCAGTTTAATTGTAAATCCCAGCCTTATGCCAGTGCTTGAAGACCTTCCAAATAATCAAATGCTTTTCTGACCTCTGGAAGAGTTCAAATTCCTGAATCAATTGATGAGAGGAGTGCTGGGAAGATGCCTTGGAGGTACAAGTGGCATCACAGGCACGTTCAGTGCCACGCTGGAGCTGTGCAGACATGAACAGGCCTGAACTTCCTGCACTGGGATTTCTGGGCTTGTTTATCTCCAGTGGAATTAGCTGTAATTAAGAAAGAGCCTTTCCCTGATGTTTTGGTGGTTGTGCTGCCCATCCCAGGTCAAAATATCTGGAAAATCATCAATGTCCGGACCTCAGAGAGCAGCACAGGAGATGTCCAGGTCTGAGTTAGGCAGGAGCATCCTGCAGAGTCTCCAAACTCTTCTCCAAGATTTCCTGTGAATCTGAATGGCAGAAACCCCCTGAAACCTCCTCTGGAAGAGCTGGGGCTTGGGAGCACCGCTCCTTTCCTTGCCTCCAATAAAATACCTGTTCCTGATGAGCTGCCTTGCCTTTTGGGCAGGGACAGGCACCACGTACAAGACACCAGAGTAATCAGGGAGCTCAGGATGAAATTCCATCTTCCAATATCCCAGTCCTTTGAAATGGCAGTGCAGGAGCCCAAATATCTGGCCAATGCTGTTTCCACAGGGAGAGGAAATCCTGTGGCTCCTCACACTGCTGGAGGTTTCCCAGCATTTGAATGAGCCACTGCCTCCTAGGATGATGATTACTCTGAGAGATATTTCAAGCTTTGCCTCCTAGAACTATGAGCAACAACAAAAATAATGAAATAATCGTGTTACCCAGGCAGCTGATAAACAAGAAAATGTGAGGAGCAAAGGTTTGCAATTACCCAACTGCTCAGCTTTGCTGGAGTAGCTCCTGATTCCCATCCTAACTGTGTTGGGAAACATCAGACATCTGTTAGCAAACTGTCATCTCCAGAGAAAACTTGGCTACTCTCCACCTGCAGGCTGCCAGCCAGCCAGGAATCGCAACTAAATGGGAACCAACCATCCTGATCTGAGCAAATGCCACCAGTTTGGGGGGATAAACCCAAAATTTGTGAGCCTTTCCCACTGACTGACACAGACCTTGTTTAACAAGCAACCTTTCATTTGTTTTTTAGGTCAGCCTGGACACTACCTCACCCATCACTGAGGAAATGCATTTCTGAGGATGGAAATTACAGAATCTCTGCAAAAAATGGGAAAAGTGGAGCTGCAGCACCTGGATGGTGATGATCAGAGCCAGCCTGCAGGGAGACATAGGTGAAATGAGCCTGAGATCCACAGGTGGGGTGAGGAGGGAAATACATCCCAAAACTAAACCTTACTTCTGTGTCCACTAGAAGCCCTTGTGGTTTTAAGATACAGCAAGATTCTAAAGGGGTTAGAGAATCATGGAATAGTTTGGCTTGGAAAGGACCTTCATGATCATGTTGTTCCAACCACCTTCCACTAGACCAGGTTGTTCCCAACCCTTTCTTGAACACTTCCAAGATGGGGCAGACACTTTATTTCTTATCCAATGCTGCTTCAGGTGATGGGGCACTTATAAAAAATATGTATATAAGAAAGCAAAAAAATTCCCCCAGATCTTCAGTTCTGTGACTATTCTTACTCTTCATCTGACTGTCCATATTTTAGCTGGGATGAAATGACCCACCCTGGGTCTGGTCCCTAAAGCTCCCTAGATTGGATTTGTGCCATGTGAAGAACACAAATTTGAGTGAAGGTGAATAATGGGAAGTGGCAGGGACATGGCTGGAGGCTTCATCGTTGAAAGTGATGGAAGGAGGAGCAGCTGCAGCAAATGGTGGACGGGCTGCCACAGCTTCCCTTCCCTGCTGGCTCCAATGACTCCAAAAAGCTCAGGATCAGGTCTTTCTCAGGGATTTGGGTCACCAGGGAATCTAGGAGTAGGTGAAAGTGAAAACAAAAGCACCTTGTGCTGTGTCCACATGAGATGCTGAGCTGTGCCCCGTTTGAGGGAGCTCCGGCAGGGAACAGAGGGGAGCAGGGACAGCCACAGGGCACCGACACAACCAGCAGGATCCAGAGTCTGGGAATGCCTGAAAGCACTGGGAGGCAGTGAGAGCAAATCCCTATTTCTTTGTGGTGTGTTGCCATTCATCCTCTCAGAGGTCCCACCCCAGGTGCAAACCCTTCTTATCCAGCATTGCCTCTGCCCATCAATCCATTGTGTCAGGACTTCTGGGGGGAGATATTCCTTGACAAACCTTTGCAGCAGGAAAAAACGACCAGGCCATGAACCCAACCCTTGTTGGGGAAGGCCAAACCTGCTCTCCAGACTACTCCAGGATCTGAGCACTCCCAGGTCTCCATGGATTATCTGGAAGGGAGTGTTTGCCCCAAAATGCCCCTCGGGCAGAGCAGGCAGTGAGAGCAGGGAATAACAATGTCCTGAACGTATGGGAAAGGCCTCTGTGCTCCTTCCTCTGCATTCCACACATCCATGCCCCTCATGATGCACAAACACATCTTTGGGAACTTCCCAAAGATCCTTTCAGGAAAAGCTGGCATTGGGAAGAACAACGATTCTGAGGAAAAGCCCGGCTCTTTGCCTGTTTTCCTGTCCATCACAAGCATTACAGAACAGCTGAACTCATTCTCAGCTCTGTCA